CAGTTGTAGTTGTAATTTATACTGTCATTAGAGTGAGATTTCAAACACCACAGAAAAAATAAAGAAGCAAGTAAAAGTCACGTAAAACCTAGTACCCAGAGGTAGAAACTCTGGATGGTACTGAGTCTTTGTAGTACTCCGAATCATTATAGGTATCTTTCTGTAGTGATGTAGATCTCTATCACTTTGTTTAATGGATACATAATAGTGTTTTACCTAGATGTACCCTGATCTTACTTAATCAAATTTACATAGCTTTTATGTCATTTTTGGCAACTGGATTAAATTATAATTTTCTACTCTGGAAGTACCTGTTATATATTGGAATAGAGCTCTTTCTAACTGTAGTTAAATATTCATGTTTAAGTATGTGCCCTTTTATTAAGTTAACACATCTGACTAATTTTACTGAGTCTTTATTCTTGGCCTTTGTTACTTACCTCACATGTAATAATTATCTGCCTACACTTTATTTTTTATACACGTGGATGTGTAATATTTTGAAGAACTTTAATGTGTTAAGCCTTCAATTTGATGTCATAGATGGAGAATATGTTTTATTAATAGGAAGCCTGAATTCATATTCATGCTCTGCCACTTATTTATTGTACAGTTTGGGTCCAAGCATGAGAGCTGGGCTTCACTTCTCAGAAAGCCTGTCTTTCATTGGGCTTTAATAACTGAAACAAAATAGGCTACAAACAGTGTTAGGTACTATGTAAGCTCCCAGTAAATGTTGACTCAAGAGAAAATAAAGGTGTGGAGATTGGAGAGTGCGGATCAGTGACCTGGAAAACGTTTGTACAGCACCCATCAGGCTTAGCGAGCTTTTCAGACTGTTTAACCCTCCCTCTTCCCCCGAAATCTAGGACTAAAAAGGGAAGGGGATATTTTAAAATGATACTTGGCGCAGATTAATACCAGTAGGAAGGCCTCAGAGATTCAGATCTGCTGATGTGAATTTGAATATGGGACTTGTGTGTGACATTGTACTATGAGTCTTAATACTTTTTGATGATAAAAGTTCACAGAGGTTGGAGTCTCATCCAGAGTTGCACAGTTGCAGAACCAACACCAGGAAATAGGTCTCGGGAACCCCAGTTCCAGTTGTGTTCCTGCTATATCCAATTATGTAAAACAGATTAATTGTAAATAATTCTGTCACTAGGCCTCTTTGAATAGCTTCTGATAGCAACCTCTTAATAACATTAATTTATGTTACACAGTATATACCTCTGCAGTCTAAAGTCATAACTTTCATAGCAAATAGTTTTTGATAATGGTAAGAAAAGTGAATACTTTTATTTATTTATTTTTTTACACGTGGATACTTTGTTCCAGCTCTAAGAAATGGGGAAAAAAATGAGTATATCCTTCCACACACTATTCTAATTTAACTGGCATTAATTTTGAAAATGTAAAGCACATAAAAATGTATATATGTAAATATATATTCAGATTTTAGTTTCATTGGTGTTTATCATCTTTTTTGCTTTCTAATAAATGTCATTAAAAGTCATTAAATGTAACCTAATACTTCAACTTGTGTCACTTAATCATTTAATACTGTTTGTCTTGCATTTAGTTTGTGTGTTAAGCACTGACACGATTGATCAAACTGTACACTGTAAGATGTAAAGAAAAAATAAGTTATACTGTGTATGTCAGTTACCCATTGCATGAATTTTTTCATCATCATTTGCAGCTTCACACATTTTGTAGTTCTTTATGCAGTCTACTTTAGCTTCTAGTGCTGTACATATCTTCATCTTCAGGATAGGACTGCCCAGGATCCATGAGTTTAGGGTCAGGCTTAAATGGGGTAGTACGTGAGTTGGGTTCTGATGTTATCACTGTTTCAGAACTGAATTCCATTGGCCAAGACACTGAACGTTTCAGGATGTGAGTTGTTTCTGTAGGTATTTCTTTTTCATCAGAGATTCCTAGCTTGGTTTTTCCTTTGGGCTCTGGCAGTGATTCTTTTTTGGTGCTTTTTATCCACAGTGATTTAAATGCTTCATTTATTTGCTGACTTGTAGCATATACTTTTTTCCCAGTTACCTTTGCAGTTATTACTGACTGAACTGGGTAGCAAACGGTTGCTCCTAAAGTAGCCAGTCCTACTGGATAAGCAATTTTCTTAAAACTGGAGCCTTAAAACCAAGCCTACCAATCCTAAAACTGTAATCACTCCCAATTTTGGAAGAAAATCTCGAGGAAGATTCTTCAGATAGACATATGCATCTTTTCCAAACTGTACTGTATCCATTATCCCATTTTTCACAAAGACATACGCACCATTGCACCAGCCAGTATAACAACCAGTTGTGGTGCAGATGGATGCAAAGCCCATTTGTAAATAACCAGGCTGCTCTTCAACATATTTAGACTGAAGAGATGGCACAGTATATATGGAGGGCTACTCTGGTCTCACTAGCTGCTTTTTGGATTCCTCTTCTTAGGTCATATGTACACTTACAGATGCACATATCACACGCACAGGCATGCTGGTCTACTTTCCTGTTCTAAAGAGCACCATCTCTTTGACCCTCTCTGACCAAATTTTCTTACAGAGAGTGCAGAGGGACAAAACAGTGCTTTACTTCTCTCACGGTCTACATTTATTTTCGTTCCTCACCAATAGTGATTTTGAAGATTAACAAATGTTTTTCATGCACTTTAAGAGCCAGACATTTTTATAAAAGAGGATTTATTCATATAAAAATAGATTTCAGGTGTGTTTTACCTAATAAGAACAAATAACAGCCCTGATTTTTAGCATTTATTATGTTTTGCACGGTATTAAGTGCTTTATAATATCTTATTCATGAAAAGGTCTTAATTTGTTATCTTACATAATGAAGCACATCTCAATGAGATTATTCTTTTTTTTTTTTTTTAACACATTTTATAGGTGAAGAAACTCAACTGTAGATGGGTTTAATGACTTGCCTAAGATGACATAGTTATGGAGCCACTGCAAGAAAAACTCGACAATTACTAGAGCTATCGCTAGCAAAAAAATACAGCAAGCCTATACCTTCAGGTTTCCTAGATGTGCTCATTCTTAAAGACTCCAGTCAGTTTTTGTTTCAGTCTATTAAAAGTTGTCCCAGGTTTTTATTTTTTATTTTTTTATTCACTTCCGAGTTCTCATCATAGGGAACTTTACTGGATTATTTATACTGTCTTTTCTAGGATTGTAGTGTTTCTGAGTTGGAGAGGGCCTTAAAGAAAATTCCATTTCTTTATTTTCACATTTTCTAACTCACTCTGCTAAATTGAGTTTTATGAACAGTATCACTTCAGTGTTTGTTAAATGTCAGGAAACTATTAACATTGCTATTATCTACTGAGTATAAGAATATTCATAGTGTTGTTATGACAACAGAGCGTTTGAAATTCCAGTCATTCCTTAGGTGTGCTAGTGTATTGGTTGCATACAAACTAGTTGCATAAGTCAAAACTGATTGAGATATTTTATGCAGGGTTGTAACAGGTTGGAGAAGAGTCTGGAAATTATTCTTTAAAAAGCTATAACATATACGGGGAATGTTATCAAACTAAATTAATTTTGGAGAATGTAAGAAAAGCTTGTTAGATTCTGCCCCTTTCTAGATATACTGATGCACCCTTAAAATACCTTTTTTGTTTTTAAGCTAGGGAGTCAGACCCGGCATTGCACACAGTGGTTACACATGCTGGTCGCATGCTCATTACCACTGAGCTGCACTCTAGCTTTACCTACAATATTTTAATCAAAACCTTATACACTGACAGAAATTAATGGCTTTTAATAATATCTAACACTTTTTAGTTCATATACATAGTTTTCCCTGTAGAAGTACACCTGACAGTAAAGAATGGTCATACAAGGGGCTGGGGAGTTAGCTCAGCAGCACAGCGCCTGCCTGGCAAGCGCGAGGTCGTGAGTTCGATTCCCGGTACCGGAAAAAAACCAAAACCAAAACCAAAAAAAACCCAGGTCGTACATACCTGAGACCTTGGCCTCAAATCCAAAATGTCACCATTTTTATCTTAAAATTAACAAGTATTTAAGTTTCTATTTGAATATACATTTAATTTACTATAAAATTTTCCCTTCTAATTATTCACAGTCCAGGGAGAGATGAATTATATCTAGACTGTGAATTCAAAGCCCTTTGGCACACGGTAGAATTCTCCTTAGGTAGAGCATAAACTGATCTTGAGAACACAGGCCTATGGGTTATTTGATTCTCACAGTGGTCCCATGACGATGGGCCAAGAGCTGACTTGCAAAGTTATACTTCGTCTGACTCCTTACTATTAATAAATGTGACATAATATGGTAACACAGTTTTTCTTTGTCCTTTTATCTCTAAATATTTACACTTTTGTATTCTTGGAGGAAGGAAGCATTTCTAGTATCTGAAGGCTGCGTCTTTTTTCTGTAGGAAATTTTTCTATTAGTGATAGTCAAGCTAAGTTACAATTTTAAGATTCTCAGAGATCTTAAAAGCAGAACTGTATATCTCAGGTGTATAATTTGTAAAAATAAAATTTCAAGCTCAATGTTTTTTTGAATTGATTTCCCACTTTTTTGTGTGTTACTGAAGTATCTTATTTTGGTGGTTGTCACCATTTTTCTGTTACTTGAATGTGCATCATTTATTGTATGAGTAAGAAAATGCTTGATGGCTTTGAGTAGTCTGCTATGGGTTAGCAGTCTGCTGAGTGTGAGACATCATCCTACATAGCCAGAATGATGAGGTTGTGCAGGAAATCAGAGTTGAATGAAACACATTTTATAGTAAAAACTAAGGGCAGATGTAGTGTTATACTAATATAGAGTTTAGAGTAGATTTAAAATATTAGCTTATAAAGTTAGTCTTTAACATTTTAGGTTTTTATTTTATCTTAATAGGCTTTTTTATTTTTGTAGGTATGACAAATGTAAATGTGCTAAATCCAAATGATAAAATAATGTTCTAATTTCAGATTTCTTTTTTCAATTTTAGTTGTTGACCTCCTCTACTGGAGAGACATTAAGAAGACTGGAGTGGTGTTTGGTGCCAGCTTATTTTTGCTGCTTTCGTTGACAGTATTTAGCATTGTGAGTGTAACAGCATATATTGCCTTGGCTCTGCTCTCTGTCACTATCAGCTTTAGGATATATAAAGGTGTGATCCAGGCTATCCAGAAATCAGAGGAAGGCCACCCATTCAGGTGAGATGTTTTTAAGTTTTTTTATAATTCATATGTTTGCAACACATATTCATGACATTTACTTTGGGAGTTGATGTGTGTACATGACACAGCTTAGTTTTTTCTACTTCCCTTTCCTCTGCTTTCCATCTCTGGACATCATTCTCATTTACAAAGGAGTTATCTCCCTGATTCCTGTTATCTTTTATTATCGATTCTCGGGGACTTTTGTCTAAGATCAAGTGTAGTACCTGTTATCTTTTATTTTGTTCTTTACATTATTTATACTTTGGATTTATGAGTCATACCGTCTACTTGTTAGGGATGTTGATTTATGAGAAGTAGATAATGGCCTCATTCTACTGCAGTGGTGAGGGTTAGTTTTTTTATGCTTGCTTTTTGGTTCCTGAAGTAACCACTGTCTGATACGTTACACCTTTTCTTACTAATAGTATGCTTGCCCCTTGTTACCATTTCTTCTCTATCTAGTTTCTTCTCATTTCCCAAGGCATTCTTTTTCTTTTTGGTGAGCTTTATTTTAATGTCTCCTTCTTTTACAAGTATTAATATTTTGCCTTTTTTTGCACAAGTACACACTAGCATTTTGTGTCTGTTTACTATTGAGACACTCCTCAGGTTGAATCTTTTGTCTTCACTTGATACTCAGCACTTTTGCCCACTTTTTTTAGATTAATGTAAATACTATAAAACAGTAGTTTTTGGTGTATTTATGACCATCACTAATTCCAGACATTTGCCTTGCACCAGAGAAAAACTTAACACTCACTAGCAATCATTACCCTGCCTAGCCCCTGACAACTAATAACTCATGCTATCTTTAAATTCTTTCTCCCTCAGCTTACCAATTTCTGTCAATGACACTATCATCCTAGCTTTCAGGCTTCCAGTTTTGATGTTATCTTTGTTTTCATTTCATGTAAAGAAGGTCACTACATTTTATTTCCTATTTCTCCCTTAGTTTAGAGCAAGAGTCTGTAAACTACAGCCATGGCCTAGTCCATTCTACTTATTTGTCTTGTAAAGTTTTTTTTTTTTTTTTTTTGGTTTTTCTCTGGTACCGGGAACCGAACTCACGACCTTGCGCTTGTGTCTTGTAAAGTTTTGTTGGAGCACCACTATGCTTATTCATTTAGGAGATTTCCGATTATAATAGCAGAGTTCAGTAGTTATGACAGAGACAACACACAGGGATGCCAGGCCTAAAATACTATCTGGCCCTTTACAGAGAAAGTCCGGCGGTCCCTGGTTCGACTCTATTCGTTGACAGATTGACTTCTGGTTTCCTCATGTTACCTCAACTCTTAAGAGATGTCCTCAGATTAATTTTCCTAAAATACCACTTTTATATTTTTAGGCCCAGAAGCTCTTTGTTCATCATAGAATGGAGTCAGAATAACTCCATCTTACCTCTTCTTATTTATCCCTTCTGGGGCTTTGTGCACATTTTCATGCCGTTGTCATTAACTGCTCAGATGTTCTGCAATGTCATACTTCCTATTGGACTCTGAGCCAAGACAGTGCTCTTTCAAGAAGGCTTGCCTAGCGCTGACCCAGAATGACTTTAAAACTCCTTTCCTGTGGTACTATCTCTCTGAAATATCCTCTGACTGTTTTGTATATGAATGTTTCTCCAGTTAATAAGTCTAAACCCTGACTCAGAGAAGTTAAATGCCCTTTACAGGAGTACATAGCTAAGTAGGTCTCCTAACTCCACCTGAGTTCAATGTAGAACGCACTATCTGGATCACTCAGATAAGGCTAATCTGACATTGGTTTGTAAAGTAATTAGGCTAGAGACAGATCTGAGACTGGTTTGGATACGAGGAAGTAGTTTGTAAGTAGTAAACAAATTCTGAGTAATGGCACTGTGAATAAAAGCAGGGAGACTATTTGGGAACGATTGAAGAGGTAGTAAGCTGTGGACGAGGAGCTGTCTCTAGACTGCTGTCCACAGCCATGGGGAAGCGGTAGGAGGGCCTGGGTGTGGGACTGTTCGCAGCAGAGGGGAGGGGCATGCAGCACTTCTGACTTGGTTCCACTTCCGAAGATAAAGTGGCTTCTTTGAAATAATAGCTAATGAAACAGTTTCTTTCATTCTCATAAACTTGAATGACCCCCACGCCCGGTAGCGGTCTTCTTAAATTTAACAATTTCAGCCATGTCAGTATATTTATTTATTTATCTTTTGTCTTTTTGAGACAGGGTCTCGCTGTGCATTTCAGGCTGGCCTTGAGCTCACTTTGTAGCCCAGGGTGGTCTCAAACTCAGCAGTCCTCCTGCTTCAACTTCCCGAGTGCTGGGATTACAGGGGTGCACCACCGTGCCTGGCCTTTTTTTTTTTTTTTGGTACCAGGAATCGAACTCGAGACCTTGCACTTGCCAGGCGGGTGCTTGTGCTGCTGAGCCACCCAGTATAAATTTGGGAATCTAGATGTGGTATACAGTAAATATGTTTTACTGGGGTTGCTGTTGTGCTTTTAGCAGCCATTTTATAATCTAGTGTTTAATATCTTGGAGCTAAAATAATAGATTAGGTTGAGAGAGTAAATGATCTATACATGACTAGGATCTTGGTAGGAGAACTTAATGAGACAGCATAATATCCAGAAGACCAAAACTATAATAGAACATCATTTATTGAGTGATTCTTGGTGCACTGTTGTGTTAACCACTTCATTCATTGAATCTTCACGATAATCTCTTTTATAAATGAGAAAGTAAGGTTTAGAGTGAGGGCTAACATTGCAAAGTTACATAGCCAAGTAAGTAGCAGACCTTAAGATTGAGCCTCTGATTAGCCTGGCCTCAAAGCATACACTTTTTTTCTATGGCAGTCAGCTGACAGAGCAGTGCCCCTTACTTGGGGAATTTTTATATTTCAGGGAAATATAAAATATTAATATTTTAATTAATTAATAGGGAAAAACAGGCTTTTATGGTAGGATATTTTTAATTTTCTTCTTTTATAGATACATTATTGGGCTGGGGATGTAGCTCAGTGGCACAAGCACCTGCCTAGCAAGCATAAGGTCCTGAGTTCAATTCCCGGTACCAAAAAAAAAGAAAAAGCTAGGTACATTATTGCTAGCTGACATTTGGGAGCAGATCACTCCAATCAGTGATGATTGTGATTTGTTTCTAGGGCATATTTGGAATCTGAAGTTGCTATATCTGAGGAATTGGTTCAGAAGTACAGTAATTCTGCTCTTGGGCATGTGAACTGCACCATAAAAGAACTTAGGCGCCTCTTCTTAGTTGATGATTTAGTTGATTCTCTGAAGGTAAGTTTATTTTGCTTTTCATTTACAACATATTCAAAACTTGATGTCAAGAGTTAAGAGTATAAAATGCTGTTTTTCTGTACTCAAGTGGTAAAGATAAGGAAAGAACATTATTAGAAACTTTCTGCTTTAAAATCTAGTATACGATCACATTTAGGATGGAGGGAGGTGCTTTTCCTTGTTAAAAGAAAAATAAATTACTAATTCACTTAGAAATCATAAAGATTGAGAATGAAAAAATTAAAGGAAATTCTGAGTACAAGAATAAAGATTATCTAGTGCATTTTATGCCTAATGATGGTAATTCTGCTTGGTTTTAAGAGTGTAGCATGTAGTTTAGTTCTTACGTGATTAATACACACAAACATATTTCATATCACCTCTTCGCCTCTTCTCCTCTCCTCTCCTCTCCTCTCCTCTCCTCTCCTCTCCTTTTTTCTGACCTCTGCCTCCCCTCTTCCTCCTCCCCTCCTCCTTCCCTCCTGCTCCCCTCTTCCCCATCTCTTCTCCTCCTCCTCTCCTCCACTCTTCTCCTCTCCTCTCCTCTCTTTTCTGGAGATAGTGTCTTGCTAGCTGCCGAGGCTGGCCTCTGCCTCCTGGGTAGCTGGGATTACAAGTGTGTGGGACCATACCCAATATTGGTTTTACAGTACTGGGGGAAAAAGGACTTGACTGACAGTTGTGGTTTACTAGACTTTCTCTTGAAGGATTAGCAAAACTTTTGAAAAGGGGGCAAATCATACTCAGTTGGGTTTTTTGGAAAGCTCAGAGCTCAGGGAAAGCTGCTTGGTGACTTCTCCAGATGGAGATTTAGGGCTCCAAATAAATAACAGTTGTTTCATCATGTTAGCATGTAAAGTGAACCTGGCATTAGGTCTCAAAATCTGTTGAGGCAAAAAAGTAAGGCAGGGTATCTGGCGTTCCTCCTTATGCATAGGTGATGGGTATGACGCCTGACATTTCTCTAATTAAAAAAGAAACTGATCAATCTTGGTTCTTTGTTAAAATAATAGTAGTACATCACCTTCCCTGAAAAGAGAGTTCCTGTGCATTTGCGTTCTATTTCTGACCACCCTTTCTTTTACAGTTTTTGTTTGTATGGAGAGCATTTCAGAAAGCAAATGGAGATGGACTTTGTAGAGATGGGGAAGGGATCTGGGGTGAGGGAAAAGGAGATGATGGGGAGCGTAAGGGGAAATGATAATGGTTAAGATGCTGTACAAATAGGTATCAGTTCCCCAAGAAGATTGAAACTGTGTAGTAAGCCTGTTCTTTCAGTGTATTCAGAGAAGAGGCCAAACTCCAAGGTATATCAGATTCTTACAAAACACCTGCTATGAATTGGTAGGCATCACTGTGTATTGCCAGGGTCTCCTGGTAGTTGACTTAGGAACATAAAAATGAGGCGTGTTCTGTAGATTGCTCCTTGTGTGATTGATTGTTCACCTATTTTGCTCTTTTAGATTAACTAAAAGGCTTGTAACTCCCAGCAAAGATTTCCAGTGTCCATAGTTTGAACAGGAATCCATTTCCTAGTCAGAAAGTATGTTCCAAAATGACTACAAAATACTAACAATTCCATTTAGTAGAATTAGCTAAAAAATTTTATACTGTAAAATTGCACTACAACTAAATGTCTTCACCAATCCTTAGGAAGCAGGTATGTCCAAGTAAGTACCAAGTATAAAAAAAGGCAGTGTATTGGTCTCTGAAAAGTTGGAAAGAGGCTAAGTAACTTTATTTGACCTAGTGATATTTATCAGCCTTATATAACTCCCATTGTCACTAGGAAACTGGTATATTTTATGAAGCACTAGGTTTTCATGGTAAAATATTTGAACAAACTTTACCTAGTAAGATTTAATTCAGTTTCCATGATTACTCATTTGTGTTAAGGTATCTTAGATAAGGGCTCTTTTAAACACTGGCTCAAAGTGTCAACTGTACATTGGAATCACCTGAAGAACTGTAAGTTTTACTGATAGCTAAGAAGGTGAAGTAGAGGTTCATTGCCTGAAGTCTGATTTAGTTTTGCTGAGGATACTGTTTATATTGTCTGAATTGCTTTTAGAAGTTTATGGCATTAAACTATAAACCCCACCCCCAGTTATAAAAGAAAAGTATATGATGTCCCTAGTGTGCTTATTAGGAATTTTATTAGGAAGCTTCTACCTTTTGAAACTCCATCTCCCAAGAAGTCACCTAAATAATTTTACTTACTGAGGGGTAAGACCAGAGGTTTTTCAGCACAGGTTCTGTGTTTCGGGAATATGGGTTTGGGTGATAGAGTAGATTTTATGTTAGTTCTGTGACCTTCCATGCAAAATTAATATTACTTATAAGAAAATGTCTCAGTATAACTGCCTGATGCGCAACTATAATGTTCTGGAATATAATCTTATATCTGAAAGCAAGCAAAACAGGCTGAGAAATAGCTGACCCCAAAGAGTTTTAAAATCTAGTGTTCAGGCTTTTATGCAGCTTTTAATGAACACATTTGGCAGTTTCATGTCAGGTTTCTTTATTTTTCTGGAAAATTAGAAGGGAAACAGGATGGGGATGTAAAGACAAAATAGTACTAACCTAATGAGTAAGGTGTCAGAAAGGACACATTTTTATTGTTGAGGAATAAAGAAAAAAATTTATATGGTCAGAACTGCAGGAGTAATTTCTAAAATTTTGTTACACATCCTTCATTTTCCTTAAATCATAACTGCAGTGGTTTTAATCAGGTGTATTATACACAGTTTAATTCCCTTATTTCCTTGAAAGAAAGGCGACAAGACATGGCTGGCCTTCTCTTTCAGTATTCCTTGGATCTCATTACACTTTTGGACCTCTTTGCTCTGCTCTGATTACTGCTCAAAGAAGAGATGAACTGTAGTGTCCAGAGTTGTTATGTTTGACTATTTATGTTGCTAAGTATTTATAGTAGAATGCCACAGAATTTGTAGGTCCAACGTGCTTCTTTAAGGTGCTGTTTATTGAACTTTTTTCTGCCTCATTATGTTAGCATCACATTGGTGATGAATTCCCACTGATAAGGATTACTCTGTAGTACTGAACCAATGGTAACCTGTTAGTACTCCATAGTAATTCACTCGGTGGTGAACCTTTGTACAGCACATGTGCTGCAGTGGCTGTTCATATCATTGAACACTCTGAAAGCTTTACCATCAGTGCTCTGTAAATAGCTTTTAGAGCAGAGCAGGTTCTAAAGTCAGATGAACCTGAGATCAGTGACTGGTTGTCCCTTCTATAGAGAAAATAGTATTTAACTTTCAGGGTTAACACATTCCTGCCGGCTTGAACCACCATGACTATCCTATGCCTCCTGATGGTGGTTCAAGCTGGTGGGAATGTAACATGTTCAAATCATACCTGCTGGCCAAGCAAGACATAGGAATTATGGCCCTGTCGTGAATGTGTTAGTAGTGAGGCATGACTCCGCAGTGTATGTGAAGCACAGCAGCTGTCAAAGAGTGAACCTTTTGAAAAGGTTCTAATGTTATTCTGGAACAGTTCTGTGCAAATGCTAGAGTGCTGATTCCTAGTGCCATGCCCTTCTGTTTTGATGGTGGTGTCTTGTCTGGAAACCTCTAAGCGTTTTTGTTTTGGGTCCACAGAATGTTAAATTTTCATCAAATGAAACTCATTTAAAACTTATGTGGCAGCACATAACAGTGTAAATTTCACTTCTTAAAAGGGGAAAATTTGGCATCACTGGACTAGAACACTTGCATGACTACAATGCATGCAGCTGGGTTGTGGGTCCCCCAGAGGGAGAATGCCCAGGTGCTGCCTTCACCCAGCCTTCCTCATGCATCAGTTTACTTTGCTGGCCCCAAGGATGTTTGAGGCCTCCCTCTGTTCTCTTTACCTCTGGAGAGCCTGACTTCTAAGAAGAGCATTCACAGAGAGGCTAGTAACATTTGAACCCTTTGGATGGCCCAGGTGAGATGTTTGGGCTTCTCCTTGTGGGTCTGTAATGCAGCCTTGTTGCTGACTATAATGATCAAACTAGGAATTACTTTCAGCTTGTGTCTGCTCTCTGAATTCTGTTACAGTAAGGGTATCTTTTATGGCTGAAGCAGTTTCTTTAAAAATATGGAAAGATGACTCTTCCTTTTGGACTTGAGCACTCTAATGGATGAAAATAGGAAAGAATGAGATAGAAACCCTATGAGGCCCATAAAGCCTAAAATGTTTACTATCTGGCTGTTTAACAGGAAAGTCTGCGGATTCCTGCTCTAGATGATGGAGCTCTTACTCTGCTCTCCTCCTCTTCATTTGTGCTGTTGCTGTCCCCCTGAATAATAACTGTAGTTGGTGGCCTCAGGGTGATATGTTTGTTACCTACTGAATAGGTCAGAGTGATTGTCAGACACAGGAAGGAAACAAGCCTTTGTGATGTGAGCATATCATTGAGCCTTCCTGATGTCGTGAAGTTTTAGAACTGGAAGAAAACTTTGAAATCTTAATCATTCATGAATAAAGTATGGAGAGGAAAACAAAAAAGAATTCTCAAAATGAAATCACTTTTTAGATGCAAAGGTTTTCCCAAACTGCTTCACTTAATGATTTTTTAAAAAAACTTAAAATTTGAAGCCAGGAGTAAAATAGGAGTGCTTAGTCAGTTCGTTACCATCTCCAGCACCTAAAAAGGATAGTCAAACCTTGCCCTGATGTTGGGAAGGTTATTAAAAGCCTCTCTGTGCTTTAGTGTCTGCATTTGTGGTAGTAATGATAACAGAAGCTCTTGTAAAGTAGAGGGATAAGTTTATATTTACAAGCATTTAAAGTAGTGTCTAGCACATAGCTATATTCATGTTTGTTAAATAAAGGCAGTGATTAAAAGAATAATTATTTTTATTATTTTGTTAATAGGTATAAAAGTTTTATTAATAGGTATAAAAGTTGGAGGTGTCCTTCCCAGGGTTTACACTGGCCCTTAAACAATACATCATTGGACAGATGGTACCTAAAACCTAGTTTCTCTCATGAATAATAATAGGGCAGGAAGTACCTACCAGATGCCAAAGATATTGATGTCTAAATAATTCAACGCATATGCCTGCAAACATTTGTGTTGTTACCTGTACTTTAAGATCAGTTTAATAGTTAATTCTCATAAGCCCTTCTTTGTCTTCCCGTTTAAAAGCTAGATTGAAGAATTTGCACCTTTCCAACCTTAGGAGAAACAGATAAACTACGTATTTGATAATGTAGTCTTAAGAAAAGGAGCAAATCCTGTGATTGGTTTAGTCCAGATTCTGAAATTTTGAAGTAAGATTGGTGACTAAGTAATTGAATTACTTTACTCAGTCCTTAAGGTAGATTTGCTTTTAGATAAATGCTTTTTGGGGAATGCTTAATTAAGTGACTTTACGTAAATATTCTTTATGATGTTTTCTTATAGTTTGCAGTGTTGATGTGGGTATTTACCTATGTTGGTGCCTTGTTCAATGGTCTGACGCTACTGATTTTGGGTAAGTCTGTAAAACCATTGGAATGAAAAATTGTAGAATATGGTTTGTGTAGGGGACGTAGAAACATTTTAGTGGAGTATATTCTTATCCTGTAACAAAAATAGGGTGTGAATTTGAGGTTGTGATCTCTTAAGTAGCTAATACTGAATCTCCAGTTTATTGAAATGCTACTTTAATTCCTGAAGACTGCTCCAGCTACAGTGATAAACCAGAAAATGAGTGACCATGCCTCATTGTAGAGCAGTAAATCTGATCAGAGGTGCCTGTATTTTAAAAAAAGTTCTGTGATATGATTTGAAGTGAGGGCATAGTTCCTTAACTCATTCCTCTGTAGTGATCCTCAGCAGGTGTGTTCAGAAGATCCTAATGATTCATTCATAAGGGACACAGTATTCCCTGGCTGTTACCTGGAATGTTGCCAGTTTGATAGGTTAGTGTTCATCACCTAAATCGTACCTTTTAAAAAAAGGTTTGTATTTTCTTTTTCAGCTCTGATTTCACTCTTCAGTGTTCCTGTTATTTATGAACGGCATCAGGTAATTTAACTGCTGATTTCAGAATATGTTGCTTATGAGAAACCATGAGAAATAGTTTTAATTATTTAATTTATTGGCTTATAATAATGCTTAATATGATTCTTAGCAATGTTAATTTTCTAATAATTTCTTCATTTCCTTTCAGGCACAAATAGACCATTATTTGGGACTCGCAAATAAGAATGTTAAAGATGCTATGGCTAAGTAAGTTAATCTGCACCTTTTTTTTTAATCTGCAACTTTTTTGAACCAAGGATGAAGTGTACTGGATTTTAATAGTGCAGTATTTTCATACAAGCATAATGAATAATAAATCTCTATCAAACCAGAACATGTTGGCAAAAGATTATTTTCTTAACATTTGGATCATCACTGTCTAGCTTTAAACAGTACCTTAAATACACACAGTAAAACTAATTTGTGAGGTAAAGATGACAAAATTATAGTGTGTAATTTGGCACTTTTAGGACTTCTTTTCTTGGGCGGAGGGTAGGTACCAGGAGTCATACTCAAGACTGTGCATTTACCAGGCCAGGGCTGTGCTGAGCTGCGCTGCTGAGCTATATCCCTGGCCCAGGACTTCATTTCTTGTATAAGCAAAATAACAGTATTTACACTGACATTTTTACCCCTCTTTCATTTGTAGAATCCAAGCAAAAATCCCTGGATTGAAGCGCAAAGCGGAATGAAAAAGCCCAATATAGTTAACACAGTTCATCTACAAAGGGGATCATTTGATTACATGGTGGGGAGGGTCGGGGAAGAATGAAGCCTTGACATTGCAGTGCTATTTCACAAATCTTTATTTTTAGCAATGCACTGTTTGAGAAAAAATTACCTTTCTTGACTGCCATGTGTTTTTCATTTTGAGTATTGTAAGCTGCTATGTATGGATTTAAATTGTAATCATGTTTTCCTATATGAGGCACTGGTGAATAAAAAGTGGTCTAAGAAAGCTGTATATTACACTTCGTTAGTCTTGCTGTATTTTGGGAAGTTACAGAGAAGGTAGAGCGGAAGAAAACCCTTTTCACAGTTTGTGTGCTGTGTATGGTCTGTGTAGATTGATGCAGATTTTCTGAAATGAAATGTTTAGACAAGATCATACCACTAAGGCAGAAGTAAAAGGGTTTGCCTCTCTGGTAATGTTCTAGGTGTTTCGTGAATTTTACTGTTATATTAATTGCCAATATAAGTAAATATAGATGATATATATCTATATATAGTTTCACAAGCTTAGACCTTTACCTTCCAGCTGCCCCACCATGCTTGATATTTCAGTCATTGGTTATATTGTGTAGTTACAAAACACATAAGCTAGAAAAAGAAAGTGTATTTCTAGGAGCATTACCATGTTTTCATCATGAAACAATGCCACATTGAATTCCAGTACAAACTTCATTGCACAAACTTATTGTAGTTAATTTTGTCACAGACTCAATCTATGGACTGAATCTAATGCTTTCAAAAATATTATTTGCAAATATTAAACATTGTTATGCAAGAAATTATAAACTGAAGACTTAAGCCATTGTGGTTTCAGCTGTATTGAACTAAATCTGTGGAATGCATTGTGAACTGTAAAAGCAAAGTATCAATAAAGCTTATAGTGTTAAAAATGTGTTTGGTATTTTGTTTTCATGAAGGTATAGCAGATTAAAGTGGACACAGGAAAGACTGCATCAGTCAGTGAGTGGTAACTTGTGTTTTCAGAAAGGTTTTCAGAAAATAAAACAAAAATCAAAATGTTTATGTAAACAAATTTATTTGACACATACTAAAATGTTTTTAAATTTTTTGTAATTTGATGACTGAAAATAAATTCATGCACCAATATTTTAACATAAAGTACAGTGCAGGATTTATGAATAGACATAAAGTTATACCATATAAATGTTTACAAATAAGATTTAAGAAGTATTCTTGACAGACAGACACTGTTGCTCTTTTAAATATATGTATTTGTACATAGCATTGATCAGTTCATTGTTCACCCAAATGGTTATTTCAGTGTAAGATCTGGTCAGAAAGGTCGTTAGTACACTGTAGGTGGACATGGTCATCACTCAGCATCACCAGTCACATAGTTACAGAAAACAGAATTAGGACTCGGACTCTACTGCAGGCCCAGCAATCTGTTAGTGGGTCGATGTAAGGCATTAATAAATTGGTGTATAAAAATAGCTTAATGAGTAATCCATTTAGAATGCTGAAGTACTTCTGTGGTAAATGTTAATCTACTCTTTAATTGAAAATGCTTCCTTTCACCTTTTCTCTAAGCTGACAACTGCATATAGCCAGGAAGTCAAGTTTCAGGGTATCAGTGCACTACCCAGCAGGACTAGTTGGCATCTGTCCTCAGAGCCACTGTTCCTCACCAGTGAGTATTGTCAGCCCTACCCTGCAGTCAGTGGTTGACTACATGTAAGATTTTAGGGGCTTTTTGGGCTGGCTTGGTATCACATTGTCCAAGTCATAGTCCGTTATACAGTTTAACTCTGAGGGACTGAAAGCTAAATTATTTTTGCTTTATACTTCTGGTTTATTCTTCTTGGGTTTAGGAATTTGTCCCACCGGGGTTTTTTTGTTTGTTTTAAATCTAGACCTAGATAGTTGACCTGATGAAATTAATGAAGTCAGATCAACCCCACTTTGGGGGTCGTAAGCCAAGGTACAGCCTTCAGTCATCTCATTTTTAACAAGAAAAGTCCACACATCCATTTGGATGTAGCTGACAGTTTCTTCTTCCGTTTTGTAGCAGTGGTTTGTTTTTATTTGATTTCTATTTTGGATGTATGCAGGTTTGGCACTAATACAGTGAAAATCCAATCTACTCCCTGCCAAACTTAAGTTTCTTTGCTGCTCACCTTCCTTACAACCACAGTTTCCCAAGCAGGTAACTGGTGTCTCTTATTTAGAAAGTCTTGACATGGATACAGGACATGGGTGGCAGACTGTGAATCAGCCAAGGGTCCTGTGGCCCTCCTCAGTTGTGAAGTTTTAGCACCATATGTAGAAAGGAGATAACTTGTGGGAGGTGAATACCAGCCCACACAACTGGACACTTGCAAAGGCACTTAATGGATACAGAACTGCAAATGAAACATTAAACAATTAAGTTTCTCAACTTATCTATACATGGCTCATTTGGTTTTGAAAGCTAAGTGTAGAGAACAGCTATCAATATTTCTAGTACTTCGGTGCATATAACTGAAGTCTTGTTCAGCTTGTAAAAATGAACATTCTTGAAATACATAGAAACAATAGCAAAACATCTTTTGTAAAAGTTTTGATGCAAATTAAAAGCTACATACTGGTAGGGTAACTGAGGCTTTAACTTTTGTCAGTGGGCTACATCATCAGATAGGATTTGTCAGTGTAGTAAGCATGTATAGTTTTTAGTCTCAGAAACAGGCAAGTAGTCTTAACATTTTACAACTTGCTTCCTCCAAGAGTTCAGATCATGAGAGCAGTCATACAAACCTCACCAACATTTGGAGTATGTGCGTCCCTGCAGCATGGTAGGTATTTCCCAGCAGCTGGTGGCAAGGTGGCCTCAGCACGTGCTGGGGTGGTAGCAGCAGTAAATAAGAGGTTTCTGGTACTTACAGACACCGCCACACAAATACACTGAAAAATTAGACCAAAACAGTCATTTTTGTATGGTTGCACATTATACCTTTGTCCAGTGGCCAAAAATCTTGGTGAGTGCTCATAAATCAAGGTCAGGTGATACATTTTTATTTCAAAGTAAATCAGGGATCTTGCCACACCAGTTTAAGGTTTATGCTCTCTTTAAAAGTTTTTGGTTTTCATTTAGCGTTGCTCTTTCAGGAGCTTGTGTGTGCTGAGTGGTCAGTGAGGGCTTTTGGCAGTCTGACGTCACTCTCACTGCTGAAAAGGTTTTATCAGTACCACTTGAGTCAGACAAGCCTGTAGGTTCAGCACAGAGCCAGGGGTCATGAAACACTCCTAGGCCTTCAAGGGCGTCTAGGCCCTACATATTTAAGATTACTTCTGAATCTTACGTAGTAAACATCACCTTCTATCTCCCTCATTTAGGTCTTTTATTTCTATCTTGTTCACAATTTGGCTGACGCACTTTGAGCAGTTGTTTACACTCTAGAGTGAGCTGCTGTGCTATCTCAAGGGTTTTAAGTGCCAGCAGCGGTTGGCACAGCCAACTGCAGAAGGGTGCTCCCCGGCAGGGCTTGGTACCAAGTTCTGTGCAGTGCTTTTAGCTAAAATTTTTTATAGGTGCCTTTTCCACAATCTTAAACCACCAAAAATATCAGAATGCACCTATTTCTATGTTTCTTATCTTAGACTGAACAGAAACCAGTATTTGTGCTGCAGTGACATCAGTGTAGAGAAACTGAGTTAGAATAACCTAGAGCTGTCCCTCCACATGGAGATACACCCTTGGTGGAGGGATAGAAAAAGGCTAGCTACTGAAGTGCTGCTGAGGTGGTTGGAACCTGTGGATCTGGTGGGTAAGGGTTCCTGTGATACTGGCTTCTCAGCCATGCCTTACACAGAATGATGTGCAGATCTCACACTGAGGTCAAAAGCTGTCCTAGGTTGTGGTGAAAGTAGCTAGTTGAGGGTCTCCTGCCACCAAGTGTGGGGCCTCATTGCATTATTTCTTAGCTGATCTTACGTCAAACTGCGCTAGTACTTGCTTGTTTTTTAGGGTAAGCAAAGCTCAGTACTAGTGATATTTTAAAATTTCTGTGTTGTAATATTAATTATGCATCTTAAGGACATTAGTGGTCACTTGGGAGTTCTTGAAAAGACATGAATACATTTCCATTCTAATCTCCTTCCTAATGATGCCCTTGGTTGTCAAGAGCACCTAAAATCAGCCATCTTGGGTCTCTCACCCCTTTGCCTCCCCCGCAACAATGCCCAGAATAGCTGTTACATGACCTTGACTTCTCACTGATCCCAGGACAGCTCTAGTGGTAACATAGGCCAAGCTTTGAGAGTCACCAGAAACTTAATGCCTTATACTCAGAAAGTCCCTGCATTCATTAAGACTCATGGGGTTTCTCCTTTACTGTCCCACATTAGCCCATACCCCTGTCCCTGGCAGAGCCTGACCCAGAGGACCCTTGAAGTGGGGAAGGCCAGGAGGCCAGGCCTTGGTCATCAGAATCAGAACAGTCCAGTTAGTACCTGCAGTCATCTCCTCCAGTGCTGACCACATACTTGTCATCATAAGAGAAACGGATATTCGTCACATGAGCCGAGTGACCAAAGTAACGCTTATGTTTCGCCTGTAAGCAGAAGCAAATGGAGATAGCTGAGAGACTGCTTCTCTCAGAATTCACAGAACACACCCAGGACTCAAGAGTACTTCCAAGGCTCAGATCCTCTCCTCCCAGAAACTTCCTCACTTGGGATTCCCATTTGGTCTGGACATCGGTAAGCTAGCTTTCCAGCCTCTCATTCTGCCCAGCTTGTGGCCATTTTATCTATTCCCTTCTCTGACTTTCCAGAGGGATATGAAAAGATTCGTCATTGCCACATTTCCACAGGGCTGGGACAAGATTCTTAGGTCTTTCAGAGGTCCATCTAGTGCGGCCACTCTTTCCCCCACCCTATATAAAAGGAGAGAGCCTGGAGGCAGTGCAGGGATCTTACTCAGGAAAACTTACAAATTTTTCTGTGCATGGAAAATCAAAGAGCTTCACCAGCCCAAAATCATCTCCTGTGACAATGTTCAGGCCAGCATGGGTCACACATGCACAGTTGACATCAGCCTTGTCTGCATTTCGCGGCCAGATTCCAATGACTTCGTCTCCCAGGATGCTGTTCCAACAGGAAGAAGTGTTAGGAAGACATGAGAAAGTTTCCTGTGGTCAGTCATCCCCTTCCATGGGTAGATGGGAGACAGGGATTTTTGCTAATTCAGTATGGTTATGTGGTGATTCTGTCATGGAAGCATCCTTCCTTTCCTCCTCTGTACAATTGTACCAGTTCATACTGACCTCCCCTACCTCAGTCCTCTGATACTCGAGAAAGAAAAGTTACCCCATCCTTGATTCCCTCTTTCCCATAGTGCTCTTGGATACATGACAGGGAAGAAGGAAGAGGGCTCCTGCAGACTCAAGGCTTGGTTAGTTTTATCCCTCAGTTTAGCCAGGCATTGTTTCTTACCCTGATGAATAGTAGTTCTAGCCTTCCCACTCCCTTCCCCTGGTGATGGGCTTCATTGTACACTTGGCATGGTCAAAAGCTGGGAGGTGGTTTCCTTTGAGCTTGATGAATGGGGTTAGGAACTTGCACAAGTGATTATATTAAAAGAGGGAATTTACATTTCAGAAGCCCAGATCAGATCAAGTCACTGGGCTAAATAAACCTCTGCCAACAGCCTCCCTCCCTCACTCCCATAAGGAAAAAAACAAAACAAAAAAAGCTCTATTTCTGTGCTGCTTCAGGCCTTGGCCATCAAGAGCCTTGGGACAGCAAACTCCCTGTTCCTTCTTCCTCAAAATATGTTTTCTTCAGTCACCTTGTCCAGGAAGCCCAGGTGATCTTCTCAATGACCATGGCTTCGGTTACCTGCTTCCCCAGGGGGACCTCATGGACCTGGCGTTTATAGGCTCCTGTTGAC